AGGATTCTCTTTGGGCGCACAAAACTGCCTACAAGGCCTATAGGGATGTCTCCCTATCGGGTTGTCTTTGGGAAGACATGTCACCTCCCAGTTGAGATAGAGCATCATGCATATTGGGCTGTGAAGACTTGTAGCTTGGCTCTTGATCGAGCTGGAGAGGAAAGGAAGCTCCAATTGAATGAGCTTGATGAGATCCGCCTAGAAGCTTATGAGAACTCTAAGTTCTAAAAAGAGAAGACCAAGAGATTCCATGACAACTTAATAGCTAGGAAGGAGTTTCTTGTTGGGCAGAAAGTGTTCTTATTTAACTCTATACTTAAGCTTATGGCTGGTAAGCTCCGTTCTAAATGGATTGGAACTTTTGTTGTTACAAATGTTTTTCCATATGGAGTTGTAGAGATCAGGAGCGAATCCTCCAATAAGAGCTTCAAGGGGAATAGTCATCGCCTAAAGCATTTTCATGAGAGCCCTTCACTTGTGGATGCCACTATGGAGGAGTATGCACTAGAGGAGCCTATCATTGACCCACCATGATCAGGGAGTTCTTCTTTCCCCTTCCATTCTTTTATCTTGCTTGTCCTATTTGTTTAGTGGATATGATTGTGTTTACATTAAGGACAATGTCTGATTTAAGTGTGGGGTGAGAGATGTAGGATTGTAGGTTTTTATTCTATGTTTTGTGTACAGTTTTGCATATTTTTCTGTGATTTCTGGGTTTTGTATAGGTAGTAGGAACTTACTTCACTCTTGGATATGAGTTGCTTGATATTCTATGGATTGAAATCCTTGTTTTTCTTTGCATGTCAAGTTGATTTTGAGGTTTGAGAGGTTGATTTGGAAGTGACAGATTTACCCTGTGTGAGGTTTTAAGTCATTCTCTATTCTTTCTTTCTTGTGTATTATGCCTCTTGATTGCTTGCATAGTGGCCTTGACTTGACTCTTTTTGATGTTTCTCGATTCACATGCATGTTTGGAGTTGATTAAGGCAATTTGTGTTGTGATTAACCTCTAGCCAAATAAGCCTACCCTTAATCAATTCCCTTGATAGCCCCTTTGAGCCTATGTTTCCCTTTACTTCTTTACTACCTTGATTAAAGCACATTACAAGCCTCAAGTGAAAAACTCATGATTATCTTTAACCTTAGGGATTTTTGGAGCTTTGGAATTGTTTTGGGAATAACTGAATAAGTGTACGGGTGTGTTTTCATTAGATGATATACTGGCTAGTTGGTTCCTTAATGTACAGTTTATGCAATTTAATTTCAAAAAAAAAAATGTGAAAATCAAAAGGAAGTTCAAAAGAAAGAAAAGTGATGTTGAGGAAAAGGAAAATGAAAGGATTGGTATTAGAGGTCTTTGAGCATGCTCTGATGTTTATTTTTGACTTATTCCCCATTGCTCCTCTAATTCCTAAGGTTCTTAGCTATGTTTCATATGATATCCTCCACCTTGTCCTTGACCCCATTACAACCTTGGAAAGACCTTTTGATCCTTTTGTGCATGTGTTTTTGGTTGTTGATTTTAGAGGCTTGCCAAGTCTATGTGGTGCTTGTTTTTCATGAGTGCTTTGAGAATAAATAGTAGCCTAAACACTTGAGTGATACAGTGCATATCTTGTGAGGTTCTATTGCTTTTCATTCACCTCTTGAGCAGATTGATTTTCTTGACATGTTTTGAATTGTTTGGACGATGTCCATAGATGTCTGGTTTCCTTGACTCTTTGAATGTTGGAGGTTGTCTATTCCTTTCGTTTCTCAGGTTTCATTGAGGAGTATGTATATTTGTTTATGTTTTTGTTTGTCTATGTTTTTGTTTCTATCCTTTGCATGATTTTCTTTAATGTTTTTGAACTTATTTCCTTGCTTTGCTTCTTGATTTTGCCCAGGAGTGCAAAAGGCTAAATGTGGGGTTCGTTGATGAGTCATTATATTATCATATTTTCTTCCCTTTCTGAACTTATTTTAATTAGTGTTTTGGACTTAACTTTCTGTTATTAGTGAATTTTTATTAATTGGGCTTCATTGGACCAATAATTTAGATTTTAATTAACTTGAATCTATTTGATCTAATTTTTGCTCATTATTATTTTCAAAAAATTTTAAAGCAGTTTTGGGCCTAGAAGATTGGGCCAGATGCCATATTACAATTTAAAGCAATTTTGGGCTTGGAAAATTGGGCTAATTGTCATATTTTATTCTATACGGGTACTAACATTAGTTCACTGTTTTATTAATCATTTTTTCTGCAGAGCTCCAAAAATCATGATTTTGGAAGCATTATAAACTAGACACATTAAACATTCCAAAGGATCCAAAATCATTCAATTCGGAGATAAATTGGATTTTACATAAATTATCCAAAACAGGTCAAGTGCACTAGGCCGACCCAATGGGCATGCTTCAGTAATTTAAGTCTCCTAATTCATTAGACCTCTGAAAATAGTATAAATTGTGGCATTTTAAATATAACTCAAAAGGCTTTCAAAGGAGACCAAAATCGCTTAATTTTAATAAGTATTAAAAATACTGCACGTGTTTGAAGTTCACAGACCTACACTGAAGCCAACTTATGATGTGTTTTGTGGACCAGTTGGGCCCAAACCTAGATTAAGATTAGGGTTAGAGTTATTTATATAAGCGAGATGTAGGGTTGAGAGGAGGACACCACGCAACAACCTTTCATCTTCTGTAATTTGTATTCAAGTTTGTTTGGTCTTCTGTCATTATTTTAAATTCTTGTTTCGATTTTAATTATGTCTCTTCTTCTGCATTTTTTATTTTCCATGGATAACTAAATCTTTGTATTGATTTTCTGAGGAGAATGCAAGTAGATATTTGAAATTTTATTTTTCAATTTCATTTCGTTTGTTCTCTTAACTCTTCATCTTCTAATCTTAGTGTTGAATTATAATCTGTTTATGCTTAATAAACTGAAACTAATATCATAATTTACTTAATTTTGTGTTAGAGATGAGATTATGTGATGTATGCAATGCTTAATTGTATAAGGATAATTTGGGGTTAATTTTCGCTTAGTTGGTTAATTTCATGTTGGAATAAGGGTTAAGGAAAATTTGGGATTAATTTTCACTTAGTTGGTTAATTTCATATTGGAATATAATTTGGGATTTATCTTCGCTTAGTTGGTTAATTTCGAATTAATTTTGTAACCTAGGATAAGTGACACTGCATTGGAATCAGGAAATCAATTGCATTCTAATATGTTTTTAATCCGCATTTTTATAATCTGCTTTTGTTCTGTTTTATCTAATATTTTCAATATGAAAATTTTCCCTTTTTGTTGTTGTTCTATTTCGAAAAATTGACAAGCTTTGATAGAAATTCGTGGTCTTTGGGAGACGACCTAGAAAAGCTTCCTAGTACTATATTTAACTGTTTTAATTATTTGACCGAGTACGACATCGATCATGCATCAGTTAAAATAAATTTTAAAAATGATTAAACACATTTTAACCGATTTAAAGAAGAATTAATCGATTAATCAAGATTTAATAATTGATTAAAAGAAAGTTTTAACCGATTAATTAAACCAACAATTGAAAAATAACTCTATATAAACATGATTGCTTCAACGTTTTAAAATACACCTTTGAGTAATCAATCAAGCAATCATTAGAGACGTTTTTCAAGAAAGAAGCGCGCCACATTAAGTTTTTCAAAGTTCTTTCTTTAGACATTTTTACATTCTTACTTGTGAAGAAACTCATTCTACAAGAGCTGCATAATCCGAGTTTGGTTGTTCTAGTTTCTTCTCTTTGTTTCTTTTCAATTCTTTACTATATGGTGGGTGTCTCACTAGTGCAGAACAAAGCTTTTACGTCACCCAATTGTCGTCGTATGCATGTATATTCGACATAAATAAAACGCGGTGGCAATTTTGTAAATATGAGACAAAAATTTTACGTCGCACATCCCAGTATGCGACGTAAAAAGCCTCTTTTACGTCGCATCTGGGTGGCGCGACGTAAAAGATGGACTTTTAGGTCGCGCCCTCCAGGTGCGACGTAAAAGATGGCTTTTTACGTCGCGTGCTGGGATGCGCGACGTAAAAAGTCTATTTTATTTCCCTCCAGACCCACTTCTTCGTCTCGCACAACCAGGGTTTTTGAGAACGACGACGAGAACGACGACAACAGCTACCTCTGCACACCATTTTCGAGCAGTTTTACAGTGAAAAGCATCTACATTATCGTGTCATTTGACAAACTTGATCTTTCTCCCCGATTGGATTCGAGTTTGAAATCAGTTTTCGTCTACACTCGAGGTTAGTGTTCTATGTCATTGCTATATGTTTACATTGAATCCGTGATTGTTTTTGGGGATCTCAATCACGTTATAGTATGAATGTCTCCACTGGATTGTTATTGGAATGTAATTATTTGTTTATTTGTTTGAGTGCATTCGGTTTACACACTCCATTGTTGTTGGAACGTGCTTTCAATTTGTTTATTTGAAGGCCACAGATAACAAACCTAAACCTAATGTTACCGTGGCAAAAGATGGCAGTGGAAACTTCAAAACCATTTCTGAATGTTTAAATTCTATCCCTGCAAAGTATGAAGGACGGTAATTAGCCTCTCTCACGCTCTACCCCGTAGCTAGAAGCCTCTAGCTTATTTATATCTGCACGTATATTTGCTATCGTTTGAGGTATAATTATTATTGGGGTTTGAAAATGCAGGTATGTGATTTTTGTTAAAGAGGGAATATACGATGAGACAGATGAAAATAACAAAGAAAATGCAAAATATAACCATGTACGGTGATGGATCCCGGAAGACCATCATCACCGGTAACAAAAACTACAGGGACCGAGTCGGGACTTTCCTAACTGCAAGTTTTGGTACGCAGCATGTCTAAAACTAAACACCCTTCACCATGTGATGTATATTTTTATTATTATTATTATAAATGGGTAACATATTGTTTTGGCACGCGCACGCGTAGTGGTAGAGGGAGACGGATTCATAGGCCTAGCAATGGGGTTCGAAACACTGCAGGCCCCGATGGACATCAAGCGATGGTCGCAAGAGTCCAGGCAGATCGTGCGGTGTTCGCCAACCGTCGTTTTGAGGGCTACCAAGACACTCTATACGTCCAAGCCCACAAACAGCTTCTACAGGAGCTGCATCGTTAGTGGCACAATTGACTTCATCTTTGGTGATGCAGCTGTGGTGTTCCGGAACCGCATCATGGTTGTGAGGAAGCCAAATGACAACCAGCAGAACATGGTGACAAGCACAAGGGAGAGAGGACAAGCAACAAGCCACTGGAATTGTGCTCCAGAAGTGCACAATCAAACCTGATGACAAACTGGTCCCAGTAAAGGACAAGATCAGGAGCTACCTTGGAAGGCCATGGAAGGAGTTCTCAAGAACCATTGTGATGGAATCAGAAATAGGTGACTTCATTCACCCTGATGGATGGACAGCTTGGAATGGAGACTTTGCTCTCAAAACATTGTACTATGCTGAGTATGGCAACACAGGACCTGGTGCCACCACCAATATGCGATGTAAATTTACGTCGCATATTGGTATATGCGACGTAAATTTACGTCGCGTATTGGTATATGCGACGTAAATTTACGTCGCGTATACCATATGCGACGTAAATTTTCTATTTTTTTTTAAAATTGAAAAGGTTTTTACGTCTGTTTAGTGTAAATCTACGTCGGATATGGATAACTGACGTAAATCTACGTCGGGCAAAAGGGTCCGACGTAAATTTACGTCTCCCGCTTTAACGTCGGACTTAAATACGACGTAAAAAGCCCTAAATACCTGACGTAAAAGCCCCTTTTTGCACTAGTGTCTAGAAGTGTTGGACACTGGTTCTGTAGCTGGAATTTGGCTGCAAGTTGGTTCAAGAACTGGAACTTGAATCTTAGTGAAGGTTTGGAACAAGAATTGGAATTTGGTTCTTGGTGTGGATTGGGTGTTTTGTGATTCAGGTTTGTAATCAGAAACATAATCAATCCAGTGGAACTCCACTGGAATTTGGTTGAGAACCTGGATGTAGCCCGGTGGTTTGGGTGAACCAATATAAATCTTGTGTGTCTTTCTCTAAACCTTTACTCTCTTTTATTCTGCTTGTATCTTACATAGAATTGTTTGCTTTTCTTGATTCAAAACTTGATTAGAATTCATAATATTTGAAATAGATAATTTGTATTTTAAAAGGTGCGAAAATCTTTCAAAGATCAATTCACCCCCCTCTTGATCTCAGCCTACTTTTCTAACAATTTGTATGAAGAGCAGGGTCTTGAAAATCACTCAAGACTTTTGGTCCAAATCTTTTCATGGCTAAAAACAAATTACCTTTTTTTGAGGGTGCTTCTATTAACAGACCTCCACTGTTTTGTGGTACAGATTATCCATTTTGGAAGATAAAGATGAAGATCTTTATTGAATCTATTGATAGAAATGTTTGGGATGTAATCGTAAATGGTCCACTAATTACAGAAAAAGAATGGTCTAGTTTAAATGATGAAGAAAAGAGAAAAGTTCAAAGTGATTGTACTGCCAAGAACATAATTACATCTGCACTTAGTATGAATAAATTTTTTAGGGTGTTTCAATGCAAATTTGCCAAAGAGATGTGGGAAATCCTTGAGGTGACCTATGAAGAAACACCAGATATATGCTTGATGGCTAATCTAGATTCTCCAACCACCAGTGTAAGTTTTGATTCTTCTATTAATTCTATGAATTATAGCTCATTACAAGATGCTTGAAATAGAAAACAAAAGATTAAAAAGCTTGAACAACAGGTTAGAAAACAAAATCAATCTTCTTGAAAAGAAAATTCTTGATGAAGAAACTGATGTTGAATATTTGAAAATGATTGATAGCAATTCTGACTGCATGTGTAAAGATTAAAAGGATTGTGAAAAGTGTCCTAAATTACAAAAGAATCTAGCATATCTAATAAAGACTGCTTCTAAATTTGCAAAAGGTAAAGCCAGTCTTGATATTCTTCTTAATTCTCAGAAATTAGTAATTGATCGTGCCGGTATAGGTTTCACACCTTTTGTTGGAAAGTAAACTAGAACTTTCAAAAATTATTTCTCATACAATAAACCTAATACATCACCATTTACTACATGTTTCTATTGCACGAAAAAAGGTCATTCTGTAAAAATTTGTAAAATAAAGAAATATGTTGTTGCAAAAGGTAGAATGAAATGGGTTCCCAAGAAATCATTTCAAATAACTTGATAGGACCCTATTATCTTAAAAAGGGTACCAGATTGTGCTATTTTTTTTTTTGCAACAAAAAAAATCTAGAGATCTATCAGTACTCGGTCAACAAATAAGTGTTCTGAATTTAAAATAAATTTCAGGAGCTGGTTGTTTTAATTGATATAAAACTATTTATAATCGAATAAATTCACTTACAGAGAAATTATGAAAAGTTGTCCGTACAGTTTTAATCGATTATTCATCAAATTAATCGATTAAAAGCTCTTGGGTTTATAACTAATATTCCAGATCTTTGTTTTAATCGATTAAAAATAATTTACATAAGTTAAAATCATTAAATAGTTCAAAATTAATCGATTCTTTATTATTTTAATCGATTAATATTTTGTTGATATTTCATTAACCATATCCAATACAAAATTAATCGATTCTTTCTCGTTTTAATCGGTTAATTTTCTGTCCTAGTACAAAATTAATCGATTATATCTTCTTTTAATCGATTAGTACCACATCTATATCAATATGTTTTTCAGGAACAACAAACTGAAGATCTCTGGTATCTTGATAGCGGTTGTTCAAAACATATGACAGGGGATATCTCAAAGTTTCACAATCTAAAACTAAAAAATGGTGGTACTTTCATCAATGGAGATAACAACAAGGGCAAAATTATTAGAATTGGTGATATCAAATGTATAGAATCAGGTATCATTAATAATGTACTGTATGTTGAAGGACTAAAACATAATTTGATCAATATCAGTTAGCTGTATGACAAAGGTCACAAAGTCATCTTTAAACCAGAATAATGTCAAATACTCAGATCAGGTTTAGACCAAAGTATCAGTCAGCTGTATGACAAATGTCACAAAGTCATCTTTAAACCAGAACAATGTCAAATACTCAGATCAGGTTTAGACCAAGTATTGATCACTGGTAAGAGAATAAACAACATTTACATGTTAAATAAAAACTCTGCCAAAGACTGCTGCCTAATTACTAAAGAAAATGATTCCTGGTTATGGCATAGAAGATTAACACATATTCATATGCATCATCTCAACAAATTGATTTCCAAAGATCTTGTAATTGGTCTACCTAAACTAAAGTTTGTGATAGACAAAATATGTGATGCATGTCAAAAGGGAAAGCAAGTAAAAAGTTCTTTTTCACAGAAAAACATTGTTTCAACTTCAAGACCGCTTGAAGTTTTACACATGGATCTCTTTGGTCCTTTAAGAACTGTAAGTTTAGGTGGGAATCTATACACTTTCGTTATTGTAGATGATTTCTCAAGATTTACCTGGACAATATTTATGAAATTGAAATCTGATACTCTCCATGCTTTTAAGAAGTTTGCAAAACAGATTCAAAATGAAAAAGACTATTTCATTTCAAATATTCAAAGTGATCATGGGGGAGAATTTTCAAATGAAAATTTTGATAAATTTCATGAAAAACATGGAATTAAGCATAATTTTTCTGCCCCTAGAACTCCTCAACAGAATGGTGTAGTTGAAAGGAAAAATTGTTCCCTTGAAAAGTCAGCTAGGATAATGCTTAATGAAAAAGTTTTACCAAAATATTTTTCGGCTGATGCTGTAAGTACTGCTTGCCATGTTTTAAATTGTGTTTTGATTAGACCGTTTCTCAAAAAGACTCCCTATGAATTATATAAAGGCAAAAGGCCGAATATAAATTACTTCAGAGTATTTGGATGCAAAGTATTTGTTCTAAACAATGGAAAGGAAAATCTTGGAAAATTTGACTCCAAATTAGATAAAGGTATTTTCTTGGGATATTCAACAAATAGCCATGCCTATAGAATCTTCAATAAAAGGCTAAAAATAGTAGAAAAATCAGTTCATGTTGTATTTGATGAAACTAACCCAGATATGCAGAAAAACTCAGTTTGCAATGCAAATGATGATATTTTAACTGATAAAATGTATCAGTTAAAACTATTAGAATCAGCTATTTTTCAGAAACAAGAAGAGTCTAGTGAATAATTTGAGGAACAACTACCCAGAGACTGGAAGACTCCAAGAAATCTTTCAATGGACAACATCATTGGAGAAAGAAAACAGGGAGTTTCTACCCGAAGATCTATAAATAAATTTTGTAATCACATGGCATTCGTATCTCAAATCATACCAAAATCCATATCTGATGCATTAAAAGATAATAACTGGATTAATGCAATGCATGAGGAGTTAAACCAATTTACAAGGAATAATGTATGAGAATTAATTCCAAAGCCAAATGATGCAAATATTGTTGGAACTAAATGGGTTTTTAGGAATAAATTAGATGAAAATGATATTATTACAAGAAACAAAGCAAGATTAGTTGCTAAAGGATACAATCAACAAGAAGGAATTGATTTTGATGAAACATATGCTCCTGTTGCTAGATTAGAAGCTGTTAGGATTTTACTTGCTTATGCCTCAATGAAGAATTTTAGGTTATACCAAATGGATGTAAAAAGTGCCTTCTTAAATGGCTATTTGAATGAAGAGGTTTTTGTTGCTCAGCCCCCTGGATTTGAAGATCATATTCATCCAAAGTTTGTCTACAAACTAAAGAAAGCATTGTATGGTCTAAAACAAGCCCCAAGGCAATGGTAAGAAAGGCTAAGCAATTTTCTCTTATCAAAAAGCTATCAAAGAGGTGTTGTTGATAAAACATTATTTATTAAAAAAAAATAATGATACCATACTTGTTCAAGTATATGTGGATAACATTATATTTGGAGCTACTGATGAATCTTTGTGTAAAGAATTTATTAAAGATATGTAGGGAGAATTTGAAATGACCATGGAACTTAATTACTTCCTTGGATTACAAGTCAAACAACTTTAGTAAGGGTGCTTTCTTCATCAAGGAAAATACTGCACAAATCTCCTAAAGAAATTTGAAATGGAGCACTGTGTTAGACAAATGACATCTAGAGGGAGGGGGTGAATAAATGCACAAATTAAAATAGATGACAAATTAAAATTTATTTGAGTCAATAATTTGTTAAATTGAGTTTGAATTATTAGATTGAAATTAGATAAAGCGGAAGCGATATAATAAGAGAGATATATGGAAAGATATAAGCGTACAAATATAGGGAAAACAAGATAGAAGAGTAATACAATGCAGGAAAAAGAGTGATTAAGGGAAAAGAAGAGCACATAGTAATTTATACTGGTTCAGGTATAACCAACCCTACATCCAGTTCCCTATCACCTCTAATACAAGAGTGACTCCAAATTCACTATCTTTAAAATTCAGTTTACAAATTACAATCAACTCAACAGAGGAACTAGTAAAAAGTAAACAAATTAAAAAGACAATCACCTCCTTAGAAACCCACTAAGGATGAACACCTCC